GAGTAATTCATTTGGGTACTATATAATATTTTCCTAAAACTCGGGAGTTTGATGCACAAATATCGGGCTATTCCTTTCATCCCTGATTTTTGTTTAGGATTGTGTTGCTTTATCTTTGTTTCTATGTACCTTTTTTACGAATATTGTTGATCTTTTCATTTCTTTTCTTTCGTCTGTTTTTTTTTCAACTTTAAATCTTTGGTTGCCGCTCATATCTTCTTACTTTCTTATTGACCTAATCTTAGCGCTTTCTATCATGTTGAAAATTTGTGTACAAATTGATACGTACTACCTATATATAACGTTAGAATGAGTGTGCACTTAAATTTTCGTTTGGACTCTTTTATAAAATAAAATATGTGCGTCGTGTCAACTAAAAAGTGTATACATGTACAATGTATAAACACATCTCAAAGGTACAGCATCCTAAGATGCGAAGCAGTTTTATAAGTGTTCGTAAACATGAACCGATCCAGAATTTTTTTAGGAGTGTGTCACCCACCATTTTTGTCACAAAAAAAGAGTAGAGCCAGTAACCGAATTAGCAATACATGATCGGTAATTACATATTCAATGTATATTAATGTGGAATTAGTTTCCTTATGATATAAATCTATTGTATTGGAAATAGATTGACAAGATTGTCATTAATGACTAACTGGTATATAAATCAAAATTTTGAATATACTCTATATGGTGCATAAATTTTGCTAACAAGAGGTAGGTGTCAAGTGCACCAGTTGACACCAAAGGAATCCGCCTCTGATAAAATATGTCATCTGGGCATAAAAGAGGGACGAAAGATACCAGAGGGACAGTCAAACTCATAGATCGAAAACAAACTGACAACGCCATGGCCAAAAATAAAAAGACAAACAGACAAATAATAGTACAGATGACACAACATAGAAAACTAAAGACTAAGCAACACGAACCCCACCAAAAACTGGGGGTGATCTCAGGTGCTCCGGAGGGGTTAGCAGATCCTGCTCCACATGTGGCACCCGTCGTGTTGCTTATGTTATTACAAATCCGGTAAATAGTCTAATTCGGTAGGATAATTTAGTAATACTATGCATTTTATCGAAAAGTAATTTTTACATTTACCATGTTTACAGTTAATTAATGTGAAAATTCGGCTTTTCACACAGATAGCCTTCGGACTTAGTTTCAGAGTCGACCCAATTTATCCATGATCAATAAACTCCTTCAAAATAACTGTTATTACTAGTACTTTAATCTACTACAGCCTGTCCTCGTTCGCTTTAAAAAAGAAAGAGGAAGTTAGCTTCTCATAACTGTCATCAATTATAAACTTTTTGTGTATATACAATTGTTAAAAACTACCATGCTGACAATATTTTCTTGAAGGACTATCGCAGTCACCTCATCGTGGAATACGCCGTAAATCTGTACGATAGAATTTATGCAAATTGATACTCATTTCTTTTTGTTAGGTCGATTGACATTTTTTGGACGCAAATTGCGACGAATGTTTACAAATTATTTTGACATATGTAGCATTTATTCAGACAATTTCCAAAGTCAGACAATTGAACATTTGTATATGTGATTTCGAAATTATCCCCTCATTACAGGAGCTGTCTACATTTTCAGTAGTGTATTCAGAAATATATTGTATATTTCCCGGAAACAGTGTCCCCATTCGTTGTCTAATGTGTTATGATGCACTACTTGTGGTGTCAACCCGAGTGTCAACCGAGTTTACGTAAACCATTTTGGAGTAATTGTACATTACTTTTTATAGTGTATTCCAGATGAATGATTTGATTTCTGAAAAGCACATGATGGCTTGTCTCGACGAAGAATTATGTTAGAATGGAAATAAATAAAAGTAGACGTCGGTTATACATCATCGAGACAAAATAACAAACGATATATAACTCGTAGTGATATTTAGAGGTCGTAACTAAACTCGAGTGATTATACCTTACGATATTTAATTGATTGGTGTTTGACGCTACTTTCATCACTGTTGACTCCATGCTATAAGATCTGAATTTTATTTGTAGATATCTATATGCATGTATACAACAGTCAGTCCGCTCATATAATAAATATTAAGACAACGACCAATCATCTTTTGTGTATGTAAAGGGGGGCATATTTTTCCTTATTGTTCTAGTTCTAAATTTCTTTAAAAAAATAATATTGAAATGGAAAAAAAATCATGTGTTTCCACTGAAAATTAGGTTAGGAAATATATTAAAATTTAGTATCTAAAAATAATCATGTTCTTGTATGAAGCTGAAAAAAATGTGTGTGGTTTTTTTTTTTGTTTTTTTTTTTTTCTTCTTTTTTTGGGATAATAAAAAATGAGTTTGTCCCGAGATAAATACATGCCTTCTCCACCGCTCCCACACACAAACGCACAAGATAAATGGTCGGTGCCTGAGATGACCTAGTAAAGTCATTAGTAATTGGAGCTATTGTAATTAGCTGATCACAATCATTTCAAATTGTATTATAAAAATACATAAAATCATAAAAAAATATATCAATACAAACTCGTACTATCGTAAAAGATTTAATTATAATATTATTTGATATATCATCACATATATCTATTGACGAAATAAAATAAAACCTGTAATATGAACTTTTGAGTTCGATTTAAGGTAACATGTGGCTGCCTGATTTACAGTAAGAAAGATACATACTTTTTGACATTAAGACTGTATGTAAACTTTATATTTACAATAAGATCTTTTGTGTAATGAGGTACTAATCAATACCATGTTTACGGAGAATTGATATTGTTTAAAAAAAAATGTTTGGAACTTTGAATGGGTACCCACAATATATATCTTTATTCTCATTAACCAAAAAATCCATTGTACAGAGATATTATAAACAATGACAGTATTGAATAATGACATGAAAGTTAACAAGGAATTTTCCCGTCTTTAATTGTCGTCTCGAACCTTGAATAGCAACAAGAGCTCTACATAGTAACAGTAATGGTTCCTGAATCTAATCAGATTGTGAATTTTTAATGGTTAATTTGAATTATATTCACATAAGTTTCCTCTTAGTATCATGTATATAGTCATTTTCTGTAAATCTTATCTTCATTAAATGATAAAATAATTCAAAACACAAAGGTTTATCAACTCCCAGGCGTAGATATCCGCTGAAACTACTATAACTATAGTCTAACAGTAGTCTCAGATGACCGTGGCATGATTGGTTTAACTTATAGGAAATTTTGTTTTTAACCTAGCTCTTCAATTTTACAATTCATTTGGCATTCTAACTGTTTACGATTATATCGTCACTGTCTCTTGTTACGACCAGACGACAATTAAAAGCGGGAACATTTCTTTGTATCTTTAATGGGTTTGTTTGTCCATATACACTTTGGTTGTTGGCGTTTTTAAGAAGACATTATACCAAATTAACCCGAACAACTCCCCGTAATCGATCTCTCCTATTTGCGAGGAATGTATAGCACCGTAGAGTAGCGGAATTTAACGACTGAATTATTCGGGTTATTGCAAAATTTGATTGATTGTTGGTTGCTTAACATCCAGTGGCAAATATTTCAATTTCATGCATTTTTAGGACGATGCAGAATTTGAAGAATTCAGATTAATATTTGATAATAAAAACTAATCTTAGTTTATGAAATGTATTTCAACTTATAACTTGAAAAGAAAAGTACATGTCAACGTGCTACTAGAAATCATTATATATTTTCGAATCAATAAATTATGAGAAATATACCTTGATAAAAACTGCTTATGAAAAAAGCAAACATAAATCTCTTCTGTTACCGTGAAAAGTGAGAAAGTCAAATAAAAGGAATGCAAAATCTATGTTACAGTCACTAAACAAGAAGAAAAAAAATGACTCCTCTTTATACATTTGTAAATTAAGGTTCCAACTCCCTCGGCCAAAATTTGTTCAGAGATTAATTTGGCTATTCCACCTAGGTCCCCTTTAATCATAAAGCTAACGTTTCTACGTATTTACAAGTATAGACACCCCAGTATACGCATCCGCTTCCAAATGATGCTTGAGCGTTCCTGAAGAATATAAATCCAGAAAAGCGCTTCAGACGCACGACATTTAAAAAGTATGATTTTTTTATTATGTTCATTTATTTATTTTCTTACCTAGTATGCATTTGTATTTTTTCAATTTACGTCATAATTTGTTTAATACCGGTTTTAATATTTGATATGAATATACATGTATGTGCTCTCCTGTGGAGGGCATTAAAGCGAATTTGCAGTTTAAAAATTCTTGGAGTACTTAAATGTATTTATTACGAAACAAAATACATGGGAAATTGATTTGATGTCGTATTCATGTATATCTTGTAACTTACACTTTGCCAATTAAAATTTAGTTCAATCGGCCATTAAAAGCTGGTGAACTATTTATATTTTTTATAAACTCGCTAAATTTATAACATTATCTTGTAGATAAAAGGCACTCCACTTGCAGAACAAATATTGTTTGTATTTTCTTTTTGATAAATCATTATAAATATATCTGTATCAATATAAATGTGTGTTTTACTGTAGACAACATTTGAAATGAAAATTGATTTTTTCAACTTTATTCTGATTTCTTTCTTTAAATCTATTTAATTGAATTTAAGCAAATAAAGAATTTAAAGGAAATATTGAATTTCTATATGGTAATATGATCCTGATCGATGTGATTCGCCTTACAATATATATACTTCTTTAAGTAAACATTCAATAATTAATTTTTTTAAAGTAAATCAAATAATTTGAAACACTTCACTTTTATGCAAAAAAAAAAAAAATAATTAATTAAAAAAACAAATGTCATGCAAAAAAAGTTGCTACGGCAATAACAAAAAAATACAAATTGATCTAAAACAGTAAAGACATTATAAAGAAATAAAAACGATATCGAAAATCGACACCTGGCGGAATATTACTTTTCATATAAAACCGTTTTAAAATAATTACACTTATTCTAACTTAATTGGTGCAACTTACCCAACTATAGCCTAGCGATGTCAACAAAAAGCCCCTTGTGTCATTCAATATTACAAATAACTTGTCTTCTGCAATAAGTGAATGATTGATTTAATCCCTGCTGACAAACTATTTCTAAGTTTTACTTCTAATTGAAGCCCGTTTTGTAATTTGTGCACACGTTCTGATTACTATACCATTCGGATGGTTGCTACTTACAAACTCTTCGTGTGCGATACATTAACCATCTTTTCATGCTAAGTTTACTTTTCCGTCAGTGTGGTTTGTTTTATTTCCACATCAAAATGTTTGTTTCATATTGTGATCAATGGAAATGAATTGTTGGATGTTAAATATTACTATTTTACTGCCAAATCAAATTTAGACATGATTAATTGATTTTTGGGAATAGAAAATGTAAATTTTATGATCGTTTGATTAAATTTCTGCATTAAAAGGTTTTTAATCAATGAACATACTAGCAACATCTTCAAGGCGAAAAGTACATATTTATCATATATATATATATACAGATTAGACATCGATCAGATGTTAGAATTTAAAAAGCAAGGGATCGATGTGACGTTAACACCGATCGAAAAACTGTAATTTGTTTTGCCCGTCACTATCTTCTAACAAATCTTAATAATTGATAAAGTTTTCTCAACAGAAAGATGGCTAATTCTGAGTCTGTGATTGCCTGTGGTTAACTACTTACTTTTATCATCCGAGACACTGGGATCACAGGGCTATTGGAGAGGAACATTTGATGAATCGCTTTCTTACTGCGAGTCGTGATCGAGTTTTAAAATTGTTTTTTATTTTACAAATGTAGTTAAAATTAGACCTACCGTCCGTGTTGTCTGCCTTTTTTTTAATTACTGTTTGATTATCATGGTTTCATAAATTCTGATAGACACCTTTCAAGGCCAATTGCAAGAAGCCGGTATTCTTTAAGGTATGATTGTTAAAAACGAGTCATGCTGAGCAAAGAACAAAATATCAAACGGTATATCTGTACGCGTCGTAGGAACGTTCACAAAAAAAGAGATTTAAATTAGGTTGATTGAAAAGTATGCGGTAGTTCTTTTAAAGCATGTTACATTCAGTTCAAAATACTTCAAACAAAATTTGTGTTATCAAAGATTTTCTGAGTTAATATCTTAAGTGTATGGGTAATATGTTTTCCTTAAGCAAATACTATCTCAATGTATCTAAGGGCAAACAAATATCAATATTGACAAACAAAGAAAGTATTGAAATTTTCCTTGTTTTAAGTATTATTTATATTTTAAAGGTTAAATGTCAAAATTAATTCAAAATCTTTGCAAATGTGTTGTAGTCAAAGTCTGTGTTTTACCGTCTTGTGGTTTAGTCTGAGGTTTACATAATTAGCTTACATGGATTTGCAATTACGAAGTGATTCAGAAATTGAAGTGGATTATTGCCTTTATAAAAATAAGGAGATGATTGCTAGTAAGACAACTCTCCACGAGAGACCAAATGAAGTAGAAGTTAGCAACTACAGGCCACCGTACGACCTTAAACAATGAGCAAAACCTTTACTACATAGCAAGCTATAATAAAAGACCCTGAAATGACAAATGTAAAACAATTGAAACGAGAATTCAACGGCCACATTCATGTCAAAAATAATAAACTAAAAAAACCAAATATGCTATACAGTAACAAACAACAGCCATTGAACTTAATGGCTGTCACGCAACTGAATTATATGGCTGTCACGACACTGAATTGTATGACTGTCACGCCACTGGACAGTATAGCTGTCACGACACTGAACTGTATGGCTGTTACGACACTGAACTGTATGACTGTTACGACACTGAACTATATGGCTGTCATGACACTGAACTGTATGGCTGTAACGACACTGAACTGTATAGCTGTTACGCTACTGAACTGTATGGCTGTTACTACACTGAATTGTATGAATGTCACGACACTGGACTGTATGGCTGTTACGACACTGAACTATATGGCTGTCACGAAACTGAACTGTGTGGCTGTCACAACACTGGACTGTATGGCTGTTACGACACTGAACTATATGGCTGTCACCACACTAAACTGTATGGCTGTAACGACACTGAACTGTATGGCTGTTACGACACTGAACCGTAAGCTGTCACGACACTGATCTGTATGGCTGTTACGACACTAAACTGTATGGCTGTCATGACGTTGAACTGTATGGCTGTTCCGACACTGAACTGTATGGCTGTTACGCCAATGAACTGTATGGCTGTTACGCCAATGAACCGTAAGCTGTCAAGACACTGAACTGTATGGCTGTTACGACACTGAACAGTATGGCTGTTACGATACTGACCTGTATGGCTGTTACGCCACTGAACCGTAAGCTGTTACGACACTGAACTGAATGGCTGACACGACACTGAAATGTATTGTTGTTATGACACTGAACTGTATGGCTGTTACGCCACTCAACTGTATGGCTGTTACGCCACTGAACTATCAGGCTGTTACGACACTGAACTGTATGGCTGTCATGACAATGAACTGTATTGCTGTTACGCCAATGAACCGTAAGCTGTCACGACACTGGACTGTATGGCTGTTATGGTACTGAACTGTATGGCTGTTACGCCACTGAACATTTAGCTGTTACGCCACTGAACTGTATGGCTGTTTCGACACTGAACCGTAAGCTGTCACGACACTGAATTGTATGGCTGTCATGACACTGAACTGTATGGCTGTTACGGCACAGAACTGTATGACTGTTTCGCCACTGAACTATCTTGCTGTTATGCCACTGAACTGTATGACTGTTACGCCACTGAACCGTAAGCTAATACGCCACTGAACTCTATGGCTGTTACGACACTGAACTGTATGGCTGTCACGACACTGAACTGTATGGCTGTCACGACACTGAACTGTATGGCTGTTACGACACTGGATAGTATGACTCACGCAACTGATTTATATGGCTGTCACGACACTGAATTGTATGACTGTCACGCCACTGGACAGTAAAGCTGTCACAACACTGAACTGTATGGCTGTTACGATACTGAACTGTATGGCTGTTACGACACTGAACTGTATGACTGTTACGACACTGAACTATATGGCTGTCATGACACTGAACTGTATGGCTGTAACGACACTGAACTGTATAGCTGTTACGCTACTGAACTGTATGGCTGTTACTACACTGAATTGTATGAATGTCACGACACTGGACTGTACGGCTGTTACGACACTGAACTATATGGCTGTCACGAAACTGAACTGTGTGGCTGTCACAACACTGGACTGTATGGCTGTTACGACACTGAACTATATGGCTGTCACCACACTGAACTGTATGGCTGTAACGACACTGAACTGTATGGCTGTTACGACACTGAACCGTAAGCTGTCACGACACTGATCTGTATGGCTGTTACGACACTAAACTGTATGGCTGTCATGACGTTGAACTGTATGGCTGTTCCGACACTGAACTGTATGGCTGTTACGCCAATGAACTGTATGGCTGTTACGCCAATGAACCGTAAGCTGTCAAGACACTGAACTGTATGGCTGTTACGACACTGAACAGTATGGCTGTTATGATACTGACCTGTATGGCTGTTACGCCACTGAACCGTAAGCTGTTACGACACTGAACTGTATGGCTGACACGACACTGAAATGTATTGTTGTTATGACACTGACCTGTATGGCTGTTACGCCACTCAACTGTATGGCTGTTACGCCACTGAACTATCAGGCTGTTACGACACTGAACTGTATGGCTGTCATGACAATGAACTGTATTGCTGTTACGCCAATGAACCGTAAGCTGTCACGACACTGGACTGTATGGCTGTTACGGTACTGAACTGTATGGCTGTTACGCCACTGAACATTTAGCTGTTACGCCACTGAACTGTATGGCTGTTTCGACACTGAACCGTAAGCTGTCACGACACTGAATTGTATGGCTGTCATGACACTGAACTGTATTGCTGTTACGGCACAGAACTGTATGACTGTTTCGCCACTGAACTATCTTGCTGTTATGCCACTGAACTGTATGACTGTTACGCCACTGAACCGTAAGCTAATACGCCACTGAACTCTTTGGCTGTTACGACACTGAACTGTATGGCTGTCACGACACTGAACTGTATGCCTGTTACGACACTGGATAGTATGACTGTCACGACAGTGAATTGTATGGTTGTTACGACACTGAATTGTATGACTGTCACGACACTGGACAGTATGGCTGTTACGACACCGAACCGTAAGTTGTAACAACACTGAACTGTATGGCTGTTACGACACTGGATTGTATGACTGTCACGACAGTGAACTGTATGGTTGTTACGACACTGGATTGTATGACTGTCACGACAGTGAACTGTATGACTGTAATGACACTGAACCGTAAGCTGTAACGACACTGAACTGTATGGCTGTCATAACACTGAACTGTATGGCTGTAACGACACTGAACTGTATGGCCGTCATGACACTAAACTGTATGGCTGTCACGACACTGGACTGTATGGCTGTCATGACACTGAACTGTATGGCTGTTACGCCACTGAACCGTAAGCTCTTACGACACTGAACTATATGGCTGTCATGACACTGAACTGTATGGCTGTTACGACACTGAACTGTATGGCTGTCATGACACTGAACTTGGCTGTCACGCCACTGGACTGTATAGCTGTCACGACACTGAACTATATGGCTGGTACGATACTGAACTATATGGCTGTCACGAAACTGAACTGTGTGGCTGTCACAACACTGGACTGTATGGCTGTTACGACACTGAACTATATGGCTGTCACCACACTGAACTGTATGGCTGTAACGACATTGAACTGTATGGCTGTTACGACACTGAACCATAAGCTGTCACAACACTGATCTCTATGGCTGTTACGACACTAAACTGTATGGCTGTAATGACGTTGAACTGTATGGCTGTTCCGACACTGAACTGTATGGCTGTTACGCCAATGAACTGTATGGCTGTTACGCCAATGAACCGTAAGCTGTCAAGACACTGAACTGTATGGCTGTTACGACACTGAACAGTATGGCTGTAACGATACTGATCTGTATGGCTGTTACACCACTGAACCGTAAGCTGTTACGACACTGAACTGTATGGCTGTCACGACACTGAAATGTATTGTTGTTATGACACTGAACTGTATGGCTGTTACGCCACTCAACTGTATGGCTGTTACGCCACTGAACTATCAGGTTGTTACGACACTGAACTGTATGGCTGTCATGACAATGAACTGTATGGCT